GGGGACGGGGGTCACAGGGAGTGGGGGGGGGACCCCAGGGGGGACAGGGGGGACAATGGAGGGGACAGAGGACATCAGGGGACCCCTTAGGAGGGGACAAGGGACATGGGGGACCTGAGGGTGGCATCAGGAGACCCTGAAGGGAACATCAGGGGACCCCAGAGGGGACAAAGGCCTTCGAGAACTCCAGGGAGGGGACAAGGGACGTGGGGGGACCCCATGGGGACAGCAGAGGGGACAGGGAACATCAGGGGATCCCGGAGGGGACAAGGGACACGGGGGACACCCAGGAGAGGACAAGGGACACGGGTGACCTTGCTGTCCCTGTCCCCAGGTGTCCCCGGAGCTGCTGGAGCCGCTGGTGACTGTGGTGGCCACCCTGGGGGAGCTGGGGGCCACCTCAGGGGACGTCCCCCTGGCCGTGCCACCGGGCTCGCTGCGGGCCGGGCTGGTGGCCCTCGTCGCCAGCATCAGCCGGGCCATGGGCCACGGTCACGGAGAGGCCACCCGCCTCCGTCGGGCCCTGGCCACCGCCGGGGCCACCGCCGGGGCCACCCCTGAGCCTGCTGCGGTCCCACCAGGGGTTGCCACCGTCCCCAGGGCCACCGCAGGGGACCCCTGGGCCACTGTGGCCACCATCACCCGCGCGTGGCGGGAGGCGGTGGCCTCAGTGGAGGCCACCTGGGCCACGCTGACGGGGGACGCCGTGCGCCTGAGGGATGCCTGCGGGACTGTGGCCACCACAGGGGCCACCACTGGGGTCACCAGGGGCCACCTGGATGCGGCGGTAGCCCAGCAGAAAAGGGCGCACCAGGAGCTGCTGGAGGCCACCCGGGCACTGCCGGTGACCTTGGTGGTGGCCACGATGGCTGAGGTGGCTGAGATGGCTGAGGTGGCCACGATGGCTGAGGTGATGACAGCCCACGGGACACGGGTGGCCGAGGCCAGCGCGGGGCTGCAGGCGGCCACCGAGGCCACCGAGAAGACGGCGGTGGCAATGGTGAAGGCGTCGGTGGCCGGGGAACAGGGACGGCGGGCAACGGTGGCCCACGAGCCCCTGGGACGCTTGGTGGCCGCGTGTCACGGGGCCACCTACTTCTACTGTCACCTGCGCCGCTGCCTGGAGGACATCGAGGCCACCGTGGGTGCCACGGCTGCTGGACACGGTGGCCCCCAGGGGGGTCCTGGTGGCCCCAAGGACCTGCTGGCGGCGGTGGGGGTGGCCGAGGCCCTGTGGGACGCCAGCGCCCGCCTGGCCAAGGGCCACCTCCTGGGGACGCTGCGGGTGGCCCGGGGACTGCTGGTCACCCTGGGTGTCCCCGATGCCACCGCGGCCGTCACGGTGGCCCAACGCTGTCGAGATGCCACCGCCGCCCTCCCGAGGCTGCTGCCACGGGGACCACGGTAGGGGACGGTGGCTTCACCGGGGACCGGTGGCTTCTTTGGGGACCAAGTGGCATCAACACGTCACCCTTGGCAGTTCCTGCTTCTGTGTCACTTTGTCCCCAACGCCCCCGTCCCATCTCCTTTGTCCCCAACGCCCCCTCCCGTGTCCCCATGTCACCTCCCACGTGTCCTCTCCCTGTCACCCCCACCATGTCCCCAGAGGTGTCCCCAAAGCCACCGTGGTCAAGGGAGGGGTCCTGGTGGCCCCCCAGGGGAAGTCCCCTGTCCCCAAGGCCACCGCAGTGGCTCCAAGAGGGTCCCCCAGGGCCACCAAGGCCACGCAGAGGGGGCTCTTCCCCCCGTGTCCCCTCCGTGTCCCTGTCCCCTCCCCCCCACAGCCCCTCCCGAGTCTTTGTCCCCAAGACCCCC